CCTGATAGTGAGCAAAAACTCGCGTGTTTGACATCAGAACATATATACCGGCATTGAGAGAGAAGGTTCCACACTGCTAGCGCTGTGGCCTGGTGCCGCCCTGTTCACAAGCAGCCATGCCCCGGCAGAAGGCCCTCCCGCGGGAGGTTTCCATACAAGGTAATGCAAAGATGCAGCGTTCCAATTTTTGTTGGCTGTTTTTCTATTTTGCAGAGTCACTAGTACAGACTTGACTTCACATTTGTTTTATTTCTTTAGCCAGGAAATGGCGTTTTTCAATGTTTCCTGGGGTTTGTGTGTTTGATGTTTCCCGCTCAGGTGAGGACCCGGCGTACGTGACGCCGAACGACGCACGTGGAGAACCGGTTTACGTCAACCCGACAGGTGATCTTGCCGACGCCGAAAACGTCATCTATGAACGCGCCGCAGGTGAGGCATCGTTAAAGTTCCACGTTTTCTTCATGCGTTGGAAAACATACTAAAATCGTGGTACTTTTGTTGTGTCAATAAACGTTTAATTTCTTCATTGAAAGAATATACAGAATTACTGTACTTTTGTGCCCATGTAAGCACAAAGCATTCCGAAACATTTTATTTTGTTATAGAACTAAATTTCTGTAGCGGTGTTTCTGTATCAATTAGTACGAAAAGTGTATGATAACGTAAAAGCTGATGGAACATGGCCCAAGCTCCTCAGCTATTGTTCTTTCGCAGACGCTTCGGAAGACGAGCCGGAATACCTGACTCTGAAAGATGATTCAGGTGACAAAGGTAACTTACAGTTCCATTGTAGTCTGTTAAGGAGCTACGCTCTTTCTTGCACTCAATAAGGATGGAGAAAATCCTGAGAAGAGATTGCCAAAATTTAGCGCAAGTTCCCTGAAGTCCGAAGTCCACAGATACACGACCAAACGTTCATCATTAAATGGCAAAGGTACTCTGTGTGACTTCCAACATGGCCAAAATCTGTGAACTATACGCATGAATGATCGAGAAATACTATGAATATTTAGACGTTGACTGTAACAAATGTAATTCACCTTGAAGACTCAATGCTGCTGGAATAAAACAGCACCGTTTCCCACCCTGTCAGGTGACCAGCCGAGGTACATGACTTTGAAAGTTGATGCTTCAGAGGGGATGAAGACCGCTCGTGAAGGCGGAGAAGGTAAGGTATACACGAAGCCTCTTTATTGTGCTCGCCCAAAGCCAAACGTTACGACAACTTCTGCATAACACTACAGCCGCTGCCTAGCCACTCTTTGCCTTGGCCCGCTGTTATTAGAATTTGCTGGTAAAGACTCTGCATTAATTAATTATTACTTTAATCATTGTAAATACTTGATATGAACATTATAGACAATTATGTATTTATTGTGACAACATATCGACATAGTCCAAACGGGTACCTGCAATGTACGTAATGTTAACGTCTTTATTATCACAAATATGCCCTGCAATGTCTATGTCGTTCAAAGGGAGAAAACCTAAGGCTAAACAGACGCCCGCAATGTACGCCATGTTTCGTTTTTATTATCACAACTATGTTTGATGTTTTATTGATTGGTTGTAAATGTTGTAAATGTTGCAGGTTCTGAGCAGCCTCCGGTTGAAGCGGATGTTCTTGCCGCTGGGGATTCTGGGATTCTCAAACGCCTGTACCAACGCATGACGGGTAATTTGTCTCCATCCATATCTACTTATTTGTCGTATTTTTGTCCTGGGTTAGTATGATATACTTTGGAGAGAAAATAATGTAACGAATATCAGGCAAAAAATCAAAGCGCCTGCTAAAATGCTTTTTAAGGATGACCTATCGTATTTTATTGTTAGTCTGGTGATGCTGAATTTTAGACTGCTGTACGTGTTCGTTTACAACACAATTCAGGAGTTACTCCTGCCATGTTGTTTTATTATTTAAAGTTCAAAATAAAATGATGAAAAAAATATTCGGTTAGGGACGTGAAGCCTGCGTCCCGTGTTGTAGGACCACGCCATCACACATCGAAAAGAGCAGGGGTCCTTCCTGGTGCCACCTTAACAAACTTTACAGTCCGGTCAGACCGTCTTACACAGCTTGAACTTACAGTACAAAACTTGTGCCGTACGCCTGGAGGCACAAACCAGATTGGTCTGCTGCCCGCCGCGCGTTTTTCCGGCGACGTTTGGCGCTCAGACTGACGAGTCGGTAACTGCGCGGGGGAGGCTCGTGATTTGTGTCATTCTCAGACGTAGAAACATCGGTTTTGTATTTATACATTTTTAACCTTTGAAAATCAGACAAACAACACAGACATTACGCGTGGGAGAGGTCTGCAGAAAACTTTATGATTAGTGTGATTCTCGACAAAACTACTTTTTTCAGACATAACTTAAGTTTTTACTTTCTAGCTGACGTTGAAACGCTTAAACTCACGGATGTTTGGCCAATCATTCCATTTAGGAATATTGACACTTGACTTTACTTTTTTTCTACTGATGGCTAAAAAAAGCAAACAAGAAAAAGAGCATACCAGCGGAGTTGGGCAGAAGTTCTATGCAGTTATATACAGACAAACTGAACCCTCCGTGACCGACCAACTCCCCTGGCCAGCTACATTCTTTTACACCGATTTCTATTATTTATTCAGCCTGTAAATGAGTCTGGTGGAGACTAAAAGCCTCCTTGCGTAGGGGTAAAATGTTTTAGAGCTACTATCGTCTACTGAGCCGGATTTGTTCGATCGTCTGTTAATGACGTCATCATCAAGTTGACTACAGATGGGTTTCCATGGTAACACGTGACGTTGTCTTCCCCCATATATGGTCATGCCAGCCCTGGAAAAAGGCTTCCGGACAATTTCGATCACCCTGGGTCTGATGTACCTGGTCAACCTGGCCCTGGTCATCTACATCACAGGTGAGTCATCTACATCACAGGTGAGTCAACCTGGCCCTGGTCATCTACATCACAGGTGAGTCATCTACATCACAGGTGAGTCATCTACATCACAGATGAGTCATCTACATCAAGGGTGAGTCATCTACATCAAGGGTGAGTCATCTACATCACAGGTGAGTCATCTACATCACAGGTGAGTCAACCTGGCCCTGGTCATCTACATCACAGGTGAGTCATCTACATCACAGGTGACTCATCTACATCACAGATGAGTCATCTACATCAAGGGTGAGTCATCTACATCACAGGTGCGGCTTTTCACGGTTTTTCGCTGCCTGTTGCATCAGAAGTTGCCTGATGAAGTGTAGGTTTTCATGTCCTGCTATTGTAATATGTTGCATTTTTGTAAAAGGACGTGATTCGGGCATTTTCAGGCCCGCAGGTTCGAACTCCTTTCTTGATAAAACTCTAATTTTGAGTAAAACTGTACTCTGTTGTTGTTTCTCATTCTCCGCTCTCTTCCGTCGGATTGTGATGTCGTGTTCTTTTCTTCCTTCCTCATGTGCGTTTACTCCTCCCTCTGTGCTCTTCTCTTGTTGCTGTTTACAATTTCGTCGGCTACTTCTGATCAGTGGTGGCTTCTCCTTTTCTTTTCTGACCGAGCAGCAGGCTACCAACCCAGCAGCCAGCCCGCCCGACAGCCGAGCCGGGGGAAGGAAATTCTGACCGTCCCGAAGGAGGTTTTGCCGCTTCTTAAGTTCCTTGCAGGAGAGTTGGGCGGGACCGGGGAGACCTGGCAGCGACCCGGGAAGACCTGGGAGCGACCCGGGGGCGGGGAGGCCAACGCTTCCCGCGAGCCGCCAACTACCCCGAACAGCCTGAAGGGTACGTTATAACTGGCCTTTACCGGGCTTCGAGAGGCGGCTGAAAGAGTAGAAATTGGCTAAATAGAGAGATATAGCGAGGGAGTTGATCCGCTAGAGAGAACAGTTTGTCGCGCCCGACTGTACTCTCTAGTGGACCAACTCCTGGCCTTCAAGTTCAAGTTTCAAGTTTATTTATTTAACCAGGATATAACTCAGATCTACCGATCTGCTTTTCAGTTATTCCTGGGAACTCAAGCCAAGGTACATTTAAAAATACAGTATATCACAGAGAAAAAAATCACAATGACGTTACATTACATCACAATCAATTACACACACATGTACATATAAATCACAGTGTGCACTGCTACAGTTACAGTCACATTCAGTAAACCGGTCCCTTCACAGTCTGGTTTTGAACACAGACGTTGATGTTATTTGCCGTTTGTCAACAGCTAGTCTGTTCCACACTAGTGGCCCTTGATATTGCAAACTCCCTTTGAATGTTTCCAGGTTTGTCTTTGGAGTGTCCAGCATGTAAGGGTCGAAACTGAGGAGCTGTTTCATGGCAGTGCGTGTGCGAACTCTGAACACTGGGGGTGATAGCCATTTAAACATATTTGTCATGTAGGCAGGAGCTTTGTGGCGAACTGCCTTCGGCATGCTATCTCTCTTTTTGGCCAATTTCTACTCTTTCCAGCCGACAATACCTCAAGATATGTTATTATATCTTATACAAAACAATGTCTATCTAGTTCTGTGCCTGAATGGGTTAGGGTTAGGATCAGGCAAGGTTCTAGATAGCGTCCACGTATCCAAGGACGCATATAGTTGATTTGCCCAAGTTCTGGATGTAGTGTTAACTATCCTATACCGTGAAAGAGCACATTCTGGATAAAACTATAGAAAATCAGTGCAGTGTCTTTATCTTTAGAAGAAAAATCAACTTTAAACAAAGTATCCACGCATTACGATATCAAGGACAAGGACCTACCTGTACAGACAAGAACATGACTTCACGATATGCTGATTACTGGCTATGGTTATTACCCTGGCGTCTAAAGGCACTCATCTATGTTAATTAATATAAGAAATTTTTCACATTTTAGACGCTGGATTCAGGACTGCCACATTCACCACCCTCGGTGCGACCGGCCGTGCAGGCCCGACCAGCCTGGGTGCCCACTACCGCGGACAGGACCACGAGAAGCTGGTGACCTTACAGGATGGGATCCAGCTCTTCACCGTGCCTGAGACGGGAGACTACAGGATTGAAGTTGCAGGTTAGACTAACATCATGGTTCAAATCTATTGGTATAGATACTAAACGTTTCAAGTACACGTGAAAAAGTGTATTTTACACGGTAGGAAAGCTGACGAAACACTGACGGACAAACAGACACACGGAAAGCAATATCTCTGTTCCCGGACATTTTAAGTTACCGGTTTCTCATTCTCCACATGTCCAGGTGCCGCTGGAGGCTGGGATTCCGCCAACAGTAACAAGGATAACCGGGGCTATGGTGCCTTGATGAAGGGGACCTTCGAACTCTACAAAGGTTGGTTAAACTTTCCCTTATGTGACATATATATATATACATATATATATATATATATATATATATATAGAGAGAGAGAGAGAGAGAGAGAGAGACAGACAGACAGACAGACAGAGACACACAGAGACAGACAGAGACCGAGAGAAAGAGACAGATAGACAGAGAGAAAGAGATTTAGTTCTAATGTTTGCGATTTTGATACTCTAAAAAACTAAGGGTGCGAAAAGAGCACAAGTCAGCCATTATCGCCTGATTGTTGGTGACCTGCCAGCCATCTAATTGGTCCCCGCTACTCTGCCAGCCATCTGATTGGTCCCCGCTACTCTGCCAGCCATCTGATTGGTCCCCGCTACTCTGCCAGCCATCTAATTGGTCCCCGCTACTCTGCCAACCATCTGATTGGTCCTCGCTACTCTGTGAAATTGAAGCCAAAAATTGCATACTTTCTGTGAGTCTGAAATCTCACATTTGTTTTTCACAGGAGAGGTTCTGAAGATTCTGATTGGGCAGGAAGGAGCGGAGACTACAGGCGGCCTCTCTTCCGGAGGAGGCGGCGGGACGTTCGTGGCGAGGTTTAACAACACCCCACTCATCATCGCGGGAGGGGGAGGGGGGATGCAGTGGTTGTTCTGGCAGTATGCTTCTTGCGACGGGACGACGCTGACGTCCGGCCAGAGGAGTTATTTAGGCGTGAAATGCCGGGAGGGGAATGCAAGTGACGAGGTGAACGCGGGAGGGTCTGAGGGGCAAGGGGCGACAGCCGGGAAGGGGGACTTAGGCGGGGGCGGAGGCGGCTTCTACACTAATGGCGGTAGCGGGCGGCAGTTTGGGGCAAGGGGGTCTGGGACAAGCGGCGGGGAGGGGGGGTACGCGTTTGTGAACGGAGGTAAGGGAGGGAGAGGGACTGGTTTTAATAATGACGGGGGGTTTGGTGGCGGAGGGGGGGCCTACGCGCCAGGTAATGGGTCAGGAGGAGGAGGGGGGTACTCCGGAGGGGGGAGAGGACCATTCGGAGGACTGTGCGAGTGCGGCGGAGGGGGAGGGTCATTCAATAATGGCACAGCCAAAAGTGGCCGGAATGGAAAAAAACGACGGGCCTGGTTACGCAGTGATCGTGAGGCTGTTTGACTGATATTATGTACAAGTATATACCCCCCCCCCACACACACACACACCTACGCTGTATATGCTGCGTCGTATCTAAATTTGGAGATCAATGTTACTTAGACAGCGGGGCAATTTATTGGTGCCTAGGTACCCTTGCCTCATGTTAAATGTATTCGGATATACAAGAACATGACATTGCCAACACACATGATAGCCCTATGGTGGATGCAAACGTAACGTCGAATATTTAGTCATCACTGATCAGTCCAAAGAAGATTTAGACAAAGATTAATATTAACGCCTTTGAACAAATTGTTTCTTAGAACTTTGTTTCTTCACAAGAAGGATGGAGAACTATGACAGAACAAGTAGTTGTGTTGCCAAGTCCTGTGGTATTATTGTATGCCTCGGTCTTGTATGGATGTTGTCAATGACGTTTTGACCGTGCAACATCGTAATATTGACATTGTAAACACCTTATATTATAATGAAATACCTTTATTATATTTACCCGTTTTAGTATGTTTGTTATAAGCATGTTTCACGTGAGTAAATGAGTAA